CATTTCAGACAAACGGCTGTCCAGTCTCTTCTTAAAAACTTCCAGTGTTGGAGCATTCACCGCTTCTGGAGGCAGATTGTTCCACTGGTTAATTGTTCTCACTGTCAGGAAGTTTCTCCTTAGTTCCAGATTGCTTCTCTCCTTGATCAGTTTCCATCTGTTGCTTCTTGTCCTGCCTTCAGGCGCCTTGGAGAAGAGCTTGACTCCCTCTTCTTTGGGGCAGCCCCTGAGATACTGGAAGGCTGCTATCATGTCCCCCCTCGTCCTTCTCTTCGTTAAACTAGACATACCCAATTCCAGCAACCGTTCCTTATATGTTTTAGCCTCCAGAGTCCTAATTATCCTTGTTGCTCTTCTCTGTACTCTTTCTAGAGTCCCAACATCTTTTTTACACCATGGTGACCAAAACTGGATGCAGTATTCCAAGTGTGGCCTTACCAAGGCCTTGTAAAGTGGTATTAACACTTTACGTGATCTTGATTCTCTCCCTCTGTTAATGCAGCCTAGCACTGTGTTGGCCTTTTTGGCAGCTGCAACACACATCTGGCTCATATTTAAGTGATTGTCCACTAGGACTCCGAGGTCCCTCTCACAGTTGCTACTATTGAGCAAGGTTACCCCCTATACTATACCCGTACATTTGGTTTTTCTTGCCTAAATGTAGAACCTGACTTTTTTCACCCTTGAATTTCATTTTGTTAGATAGCGCCCAGTGTTCGAGTCTGTCCAGATCCTCCTGTATCCTAAGCCTGTCTTCTGGAGTGTTGGCTATTCCTGCCAGCTTGGTGTCGTCCGCACATTTGATGAGTTCCCCATCTATCCCCTCATCCAGATCGTTGATGAAGATGTTGAAGAGCACTGGGCCCAGAACAGAGCCCTGGGACACCCCACTACACACTTCCCTCCATGGAGATGCGGTTCCGTTGAGGACCACTCGCTGAGTACGGCCGGTCAGCCAGCTACGGATCCATCTGGCGGTGATGCTGTCTACCCCGCATTTTTCCTATTCTGTACCACGACGTTCCGTGTCTCTCCCTGTTCCTTACTGAGTTGTGTAAACGCCTGTCTGGTGTGGTTAAACACTTCCTGTGTGCAGTCACCTCGTTGTATAATAGAGTGATAATTCAAGCCAACTCCTCTAGCTGGCATTAACGCGTTCGCCAGGGCCATTCGGTGCAGTATGGTATTCAATGTGGTCTTCGCGCTCAAGGGAATGCACACACGCTGTTCCAAACAGCCGGCAATCAGGAGAAAAGCAGATGCGGTTGCCAAGCGAAAGAGGGAAGGCGTTCCCGGAAAAAGGGAGAAACTTTCCCCCCCCCCGGCCGCTTTTCCCAACCAAGACGAAGGAGAGACTCGCTCCGACTCGTTTTCAAGCATTTATTTCCATTTTTTTAACAACCCCCCCCCCCAAAAAAAAACACAAAAACCAAGCTGCCCTTAACCGATACGCATTCGAACCCCTTTCCCTAACGTCTCCCTTCTGCCTGCTGCAGGAGTTGCCGTTCCGCCTGGCTGGGTTCGGAGTTCGAATTCTCCTCCGAGCCCGTTGGATTCCCTCCCCTCAACCTCTGCGTGCGGCGGCCTTTCCCTTTTCCGCCTGGGTTCGGAGTTCGAATTCCCTTTCAAATTCATTGGATTCCCTTCCCTAACTTCTCTCTTCTGCAGGCTGCAGTGTTTCCCTTTCTGCCTGGGTTCGGAGTTCGAATTCTCCTTCAAAAATTTTTTTTGATTCCCTTCCTTAACTTATTTCTTCTGCATCCTGCAGCCTTTCCCTTTCTGCCTGGCTGGGTTCGGAGTTTGAATTCTCCTCCAAATTTGTTTGATTCCCTTCCCTAACTTCTGCGTGCTGCAGCGTTTCCCTTCCTGCCTGGGTTCGGAGTTCGAGTTCTCCTTCGAATTCCTTTGATTCCTTTCCCTAACGTAACTCTTCTCCATCCTGCAGTATTTCCCTTTCTGCCTGGATTCGGAATTCGAATCCTCCTTCAAACTCATTTGATTCCCTTCCCTAACTTCTGCAAGCTGCAGCGTTTCCCTTCCTGCCTGGGTTCGGAGTTCGAATTCCCTTTCAAATTCATTGGATTCCCTTCCCTAACTTCTCTCTTCCGCTTGCTGCAGTAGTTCCCTTTCCGCCTGGGTCTGGAGTTTGAATCCTCCTTCAATTTCATTTGATTCCTTTCCCTAACTTCTCTCATCTGCCTGCTGCAGCGTTTCCCTTTCTACCTGGGTCTGGAGTTCGAATGCTACCCCAAAAGCGAATACATGCTGCTGTTTAGGAAAACCCGAATTGGGTCCAAGCTGGAAACAAAAAACCAACAAACAAAAAAACCGGAGAATCATCCAATCATTTTCTGCAGAAATGATTTTTTTTTTTTTTNTATTATATTATATTATATTATATTATATTATATTATATTATATTTATTATATTATATTTATTATATTATATTATATTATATTATATTATATTATTATATTATATTATATTATATTATATTATATTATATTATATTATATTATATTATATTATATTATATTATATTATATTATATTATATTATATTATTATAGTATAGTATAGTATAGTATAGTATAGTATAGTATAGTATAGTATAGTATAGTATAGTATAGTATAGTATATTCTGTTCTGTTCTGTTCTGTTCTGTTCTATATTCTATTCTATTCTATTCTATTCTACTCTAGTCTAGTATATTCTATTCTATTCTATTCTGTTCTATTCTATTCTACTCTAGTATCGTATCGTATCTTATCGTATAGCATAGCATAGCATAGCATAGCATAGCATAGCATAGCATAGCATAGCATAGCATAGCATAGCATAGTATAGTATAGTATAGTATATTCTGTTCTATTCTATATTCTATTCTATTCTATTCTATTCTAGTCTAGTCTAGTATATTATATTCTATTCTGTTCTATTCTATTCTACTCTAGTATCGTATCGTATAGCATAGCATAGCATAGCATAGCATAGCATAGCATAGCATAGTATAGCATAGCATAGCATAGCATCGTATAGTATAGTATAGTATATTCTGTTCTATTATATTCTATATTCTATTCTATTCTATTCTATTCTATTCTATTCTATTCTATTCTATTCTATTCTATTCTGTTCTGTTCTATTCTACTCTAGTATCGTATCGTATCGTATCGCATCGCATCGCATCGCATCGCATCGCATCGCATCGCATCGCATCGCATAGCATAGCATAGCATAGCATAGTATATCCGGAGTTCAAAAGCAAAAGACATTCGTTACAGACTTGATTTGAGAAATACAGATTAAAATTGGCATTGGTGAGATGGGTAGGGAAGTAGCCAGAAGGAGAGTCTGACGGCTGAACAGAACGACAGAACAACAGAGTTGGGAGGGACCTTGGAGGTCATCTAGTCCAGCCCCCCATGTCAAGCGTGAGGCCCTTACAGAATCACAGAGTTGGATGGCAACTTGGAGGTCATCTAGTCCAGCCCCTTGCTCAAGCAGGAGACCCTTACAGAACCATGGCATAACAGAGTTGGAAGGCACCTCAGAGGGGGTTGGACTAGATGACCAAATGGTGCCCTCGCACAATTCATGTCCTTTACACAACCGTCTGGTGCCACATCCATCAAATCTTTCAATATCCATGGTCTGCAAACTCTGTTACTGTATGATTCTCTAAGGGTCTCTTGCTTGAGCAGGGGGCTGGACTAGATGGTCTCCAATGCCCCTTCCAGCTCTGTTATTCCATGATTCTGTAAGTGTCTCCTGCTTCAGCAGGGGGTTGGACTAGATGACCTCTGAGGTACCTTCCAGCTCTGTTATTCCATGATTCTGTAAGGGTCTCCTGCATCAGCAGGGGGTTGGACTAGATGACCTCCAAGATCCCTTCCCACTGTTATTCCATGATTCTGCAAGGGTCTCCTGCTTCAGCAGGGGGTTGGACTAGATGACCTCCAATGCCCCTTCCAGCTCTGTTATTCCATGATTCTGTAAGGGTCTCCTGCTTCAGCAGGGGGTTGGACTAGATGACCTCCAAGGTCACTTCTTTTATTCCATGATTCTGTAAGGGTCTCCCGCTTGAGCAGGGGGTTGGACTAGATGACCTCCAAGGTTTGTACTTGTGTGTTGGAGGTGATTTTTTTTTTTAGGTGTCCAAAAGCAAAGGACATTTGTTTCAGGCCTGATTTTAAAAAATGCACATTACAAATGGCCTGGTTGAGATGGGTAGGGAGCTGGCAGAAGGAGATTCTGACCACTGAACAGACTGACAAAATAACAGAATTGGAAGGGACCTGGGAGGTCATCCAGTCCAGCCCCATACTGGAGCAAGAAACCCTTACAGAATCACAGATTTGGAAGGGACCTGGGAGGTCATTCAGACCATCCCCCTGCTCAAGCAAGACACTCATACAGAATCACAGATTTGGAAGGGACCTGGGAGGTCATCTAATCCAGCCCCATGCTGGAGCAAGAAACCTTTAAAGAATCACAGAGTTGGAAGGGACCTGGGAGGTCATCCAGTCCATCCCCCTGCTCAAGCAAGAAAGCTTTACAGAATTACAGAGTTGTTAGGGACCTGGGAGGTCATTCAGACCATCCCCCTGCTCAAGCAAGACACTCATACAGAATCACAGATTTGGAAGGGACCTGGGAGGTCATCCAGTCCGGCCCCCTGCTCGTGCAAGAAAGCCTTAGAGAATAACAGAGTTGGAAGGGACCTGGGAGGTCATCTAGTCCAGCCCCCTGCTCAAGACTTACAGAATCACAGAGTTGGAAGAGACCTTGGATGTCATCCAGTCCAGCCCCCTGCCCAAGCAAGAAACTCATACAGAATCACAGGTTTGGAAGGGACCTGGGAGGTCATCTAATCCAGCCCCATGCTGGAGCAAGAATTACAGAGTTGTTAGGGACCTGGGAGGTCATCCAGTCCATCCCCCGTGCTCAAGCAAGAAAGCCTCTACCACGTTTCCAGCCTATCTCAAGAGTGGAGAAGGTTCCTGGTTCAGGAGGAACCCAAGTTTGGGAGAGAACCTTCTAAATGGATCTCTCCCCTTCAAAACACATGGCAAAGGTAGGACCTCAGCTGAGGTGGGGGTCTCCTCCACCTGACAAATGGTTCAAACCCCTCCCCACCCCCATCACACCACCTTCTTACCTCCTCATCCTCCTTCTTCTCTTCCACCTCCTCCACCTCCTCTATTCCCTCCACGGCGTCACAGGTGACAAAAGCCATCGGGGGCTTCTCCCCAAGGAAATAGTTGGCCGTGCATTCTCTGACCACCTACAGTGAAGGAACGAGATGAGAATCTGGCCATCTTCCAGATTGGACTCCACGGAGACCGCCATTTTGTTTTCCCCCCACACACAGGACAGATCTGGGATCACCCTCTGGCGTTGTGCTGAATCCAGGGCAACCTTAGACAAGCTGAGCCGATTCAACCTCTCCGTGCACCCTTTGGTTGTCGAGGGATGAACTGTTGAAGGGTTTGAGGGTTGGATTCCTTCCCCGTCCCCTGGATCTGGGTCAAAGAGTTGACGTGAAGAACCAAGAGGAAGACCTTAACTATGGTCTTCCTTCAATCCCCGTGGAGATGGCGATCCACTTTCACTTCTGCCAAGAAGATCCCACAGAAGTCCCATAGCCCTGTCTCCATCTACAACAGATCACCAACCTAGCTTGGCTTCGACCACTTACCCCGCCTTCCTGGAAGCCACATACACCCAAGGAACGTTCTCCTTCTATTAGACATGCTTAGCTTAGGAGATCTGGTTTTATCTCTGCCAAGAAGATCCTACAGATGTGCCATAGCCTCAGTGGTGGGATTCAGCCGGTTCGCACCAGTTCGGGAGAACTGGTAGGTAAATTTACCTGAATTCGGAGAACCGTCTGGCTTCTGGAAGTCCAGTCTAGGCCTCGGAAGCCTCCCAGCCCTAGAACGGCCCACCGGAAGTGCATGGATGCCACTTCCGGAAGTCTGTTCTAGTCATTGGAGGCCTGGAGGTGGCTTCCCAGGCTTAGAAAGGCCCACCGGAAGTGCATGGATGCCACTTCCGGAAGTCTGTTCTAGGCCTCGGAGGCTTGGAGGAGGCCTCCCAGGCCTAGAACGGCCCACCGGAAGTGCATGGATGCCACTTCCGGAAGTCTGTTCTAGGCCTCGGAGGCCTGGAGGAGGCCTCCCAGGCCTAGAAAGGCCCACCGGAAGTGCTTGTCCTTCTACTAGACAGGCTTAGCTTAGGAGATCCGGTTTTATCTCTGCCAGGAAGATCCTACAGATGTTCCATAGCCTCAGTGGTGGGATTCAGCCAGTTCGCACTGATTCGGGAGAACCGGTAACTAAATTTACCTGAATTCGGAGAACTGGCTGGCTTTTGGAAGTCCAGTCTAGGCCTCGGAGGCCTCTCAGGCCTAGAACGGCCCACCGGAAGTGCGTTGATGCCACTTCTGCAAGTCTGTTCTAGGCCCTGGAGGTCTGGAGGAGGCCTCCCAAGCCAAGAACAGTCCACCGGAAGTGCATGGATACCACTTCTGGAAGTCCAGTCTAGGCCTCAGAGGCCTCCCAGGCCTAGAACAGCCCACCGGAAGTGCATGGATACCACTTCTGGAAGTCCAGTCTAGGCCTCAGAGGCCTCCCAGGCCTAGAACAGCCCACCGGAAGTGCATGGATGCCACTTCCGGAAGTCTGTTCTAGGCCTCGGAGGCCTACAGGAGGCCTCCCAGGCCTAGAAAACCCCACAGGAAGTGTGTTGATGCCACTTCTGGAAGTCTGTTCTAGGCCTGGGAGGCCTGGAGGAGGCCTCCCAGGCCTAGAACGGCCCACCGGAAGTGCATGGATACCACTTCTGGAAGTCTTTTCTAGGCCTCGGAGGCTTGCAGGAGGCCTCCCAGGCCTAGAACGGCCCACCGGAAGTGCATGGATGCCACTTCCGGAAGTCTGTTCTAGGCCTGGGAGGCCTGGAGGAGGCCTCCCAGCCCTAGAACGGCCCACCGGAAGTACGTGGATACCACTTCTGGAAGTCTGTTCCACGCCTCGGAGGCCTGGAGAAGGTCTCCCAGGCCTAGAACGGCCCACTGGAAGTGCGTTGATGCCACTTCCGGAAGTCTGTTCTAGGCATTGGAGGCTTGGAGGAGGCCTCCCAGGCCTAGAAAGGCCCACCAGAAGTGCATGGATACCACTTCTGGAAGTCTGTTCTCGGCATTGGAGGCCTGGAGGAGCCCTCCCAAGTCTAGAACGGTCCACCGGAAGTGCATGGATACCACTTCCGGAAGTCTGTTCTAGGCCTCGGAGGCCCAGGCCTGCATCACATAATAGAACCGGTTGTTCAGGTATTTGAATCCCACCACTGTGTCCATGTACACTTTAGAAGAACGGGAAACATCTGCCGAAGGGTACAAAGTTGGGTCCCTTCTCTATCCCTGGATCTGGGTCAAAGGGTTGACGTGAAGAACCAAGAGGAAGACCCAGGAAGTCCCCTAGACCTGTCTCCGTCTACAGCAGACCACCAAATCCGGCTCGGCATTCGTCACTCACCCCGTCTTCTTTGAAGTCACATTCCTCCAAGGCATGGCCTTCCTCCACAGGGCACACCGTCTCTTTGATGGTGAACTTCAACTCTTGGGTTGCTTCAGAATTGGGATCCTGAAAGAAGACATGGCCAAGTAGAGCGGTTACTTTGAAGGCCACCTGGACCTTCTCCCTGTTTTTACACTGGGATCACTTCTGAACCACTCTTGATGGAGACACCTGAATGTGGCTCCAGAGAATGCTCCAACACTGGAAGTTTTTAAGAAGAGACTGGACAGCCGTTTGTCTGAAATGGTGTAGGGTTCCTGCCTGGGCAGGGGGTTGGACTCGATGACCTCCAAGGCCCTTCCAACTTTATTATTATTATTATTATTATAGAAGAACCCGTGAAGGTTCCAGATTCCCTTCATGCCAGGTCCATCATCCTGACTGATCATGGAGATCTTGAACACTCCATCCATGGTCAGTCAGGATGATGGGCCTGGCATGAAGGGAATCTGGAACCTTCACGGGTTCTTCTCTGGAGCCACATTCAGGAGTGTTCAAGATCTCCATTCTAGGAGGAAAGGGTTGGTGGATTCCTGAAAGGAAGGACTCCACCAATCCCGTTGTTCTAGAATGGAGATCTTCCAGTAAGAGATGTGTCTACTCTACATGCCATAAGGGATGTGTCTACCCTACATCCCATACGGGATGGGTCTACTGTACATACCATAAGCGATGGGTCTACTCTACACCCCACAAGGGATGGGTCTAACTCTACACCCCACAAGGCATGGGTCTACTCTACATCCCACAAGGCATGGGTCTACTCTACATCCCATAATGGATGGGTCTACTCTACACCTCATAAGGGATGGGTCTACTCTACATCCCATAAAGGATGGGTCTACTCTACATCCAATAAGGGATGGGTCTACTCTACATCCAATAACAGATGGGTCTACTCTACATCCCATAACGGATGGGTCTACTCTACATCCCATAACGGATGGGTCTACTCTACATATTATAAAGGATGGATCTAATCTACATATTATAAAGGATGGATCTAGTCTACATATTATAAAGCATGGGTCTATACATATTATAAAGGATGGATCTAGTCTACGTATTATAAAGGATGGGTCTACTCTACATATTATAAAGGATGGATCTAGTCT